CTACTGCGTCAAGTAGTTCCTAACACCACTCTACATATAATCTGAGAATTTTTATAGAATACAGTAAATATAAACATATAGTTTTATTTTATTTTCTAGATCTAATAAAGAATATAAACAAATAGGCTTTTAATAATAATAAATTACTAGAAAATAAGCTTTGAAGTATATTAAAAATATTAGAAATATTAAAAATAAAAATATAACAGATATTTATTTTACTATAGTTATATATATAAATTTAAGCTTTATATAACTATTTAAAACTAGTTTATAAATATTTATTAGTTATCTAATTATAGATAACTAGTAGTAATAGTTTTACAACCAACCGCAACCTCTCGCAACTAAGGCTATCAAACCACTATGTATGGGTGCCTCAGGCACGATTGGCTGGTCATATAACAGGCCCTCAAGGCGCCTGTTATAAATTTCCAATACACTCTATACAAATCTCTTTTTGAGGAACATATATCCTTTATCTTTACTTAGTAATCAAGAGGGAGTTAAAGATACAGCTAGGGCAGAGCTCAACAGGATTTCTTAATCGATGCTGGTCCGACTTTACCCCAAATATATCGTCACCCTAGTACTGAAATGTCGGCTTATAGCAGCGATCGACGGCCTATTCCCCACCTTTGCTTGAGGAGGATGGCTACCAGTCACTTCGATCTCCCAAGTACGTGGGTAACCCCTCCCCTCCCCTGTCGAACATTATCATAAACCTCAGTTGAGGTTCGGACCAGAGAGATCAGGGAATGAAGGAATTATAGGCGAGTTCGTTGGCTTCTATGGCCAAATTTCCGTCTGCACTAGGTACTGCATGAAAACGGACGGCTGATCGATCCCGTCCGGAACTGGGCAATCTAATGTGCGGGCCAGTTAGTCTCGAGTTCCGACACTCGTTCCCAAAGCAGGGTAAACTCACCACCTCGGTCACACTTGCATACATTCCACATCCAAGTATGGTGACTCCCACCACAAATACGATCAAATTGATGACTGCGGCGCGAAGATTCCTCCGATCAAACCAAGCCCCCTCCTTGAGCAAAAAGAACCACATCAACGGAGGGAGGTAAAAGGAAAATCCCGAGACCAGCAGACAGCCACAAATCGAGAGGAGCTCGGAGAAGAAAGGGATGGCCTCGGCGACAATCCAGCCAACGACATTAATGCAGGCCACGAGTGCGAGCCAGGTCGCCCATCCCATGGGAGTGTTAACGTACCGCACGGTGGAGTTCTGAAAGATACGGCCGTGCATAAAACGGGCGGCGATGGTGGCGTTAATGGCACCCGAGATGTATATGACAGGAAGGGCAACACCAAAGGCTATTTTAGCAATCAGAGGACTGGCAGATAGAAGCGCCGGGGACTGAACCCCTTGTCCCACAAACGCGTAGATCACAGCCCCTGTAATAGTATAGATGGTCATTTGTGTACCGGCTAACAGGGTGATAGACTTGGTAAAGTCGGTCGGGGTGTGCATTTCGTCCATAAAGGTGGGCTGGGCCCCGGCAAAGGCGTAGGCAAAAGCGATATTGGAGATGGCAACAAACGCCTCGCTGAGAGTCAAGTCTTTTTTTGGCCAAGCCGACCATGCGGCTGACGCAGCGGTCGCGTTGTGGGACTGTTGAATTCCCGTGGCGATCATCACGATCCCAATGGCCACGATGATGGAGGCGAAGTCGATGTACCCCAGGATAGAGATATCTGCAAAGGTAGGAGGCACAGCAAAGACAAGGAGGATGACAGCAGACACCACGCTGAAGGCGAGGGCGCATACATGACTCCCCGTGATAGTCGCTAGGGCCAGTTTGCCCGTCAAACAATGCGAGCCGACGGTCATAGTCAAGAGGGCTACAAAAGCAACCGCCAAGACCTTGTCGCCAATGCTGCCCATAAGCAGGCGGCCAAAGTCTACGATATGCGGCAGATGCGGATACTTGAGCTTCACAAGGCCAAGGATATAGCTGGCGTAGATGGCGAGAACCCCTAATCCAAGGGTCAAGATGACACCAGCCACCATGCCCAGCGTTTCGAATGCAGCTGGCAGACTCAAGCTACCCAATGCAATAGACTGGACAATCAGCACGATGGTAAGACGCTTCCAACCCAGGCGATGGAAACGCTGTTCGCCTTTGATGGCTCGCTCGTCATCATTCTGCAGGGAGCCCTTGTCCAGGGTTCCGGCCACGGCTTGGTCGGGCTCAGTCATACCGCTAACCTTTTTCTCTCTATTGATGCCGAGCTCGTCGACGCGAGTTGTCGCGTCTCCCATCATCGGTGGTTGTTAGGTGGTGATGAAATGGGACGAAGAAAAGAAGTCGAGTTTGGTACCGGGAATGCGAAGAACAGCACACGGGCGTCCCCCTTCACCGGATCAAATTACCCCGCACTTGGAACCGGAACCAGGCATCTTCCGGATAGAGGCTTGCAGGAGTGGGGTACAGATAACTGCTTGATGAAACATAACATCATGTAATTATTTCCATTCTATTAACCCAGTCCCTATGCTGCCTTAGGTAGTGGGACCCGCTGTTCTGATTGGTCCTCTCTCCGCGCCAAGCTGAATGGCGGGCGGAAACCTGGTATTATCTGATCATACGTTGCATCTGATTAGATTAGATTTCTTCACCCGCCCACTTGGGTTATGTTTGAATGGCACTGAGTTGCCACCGAGTCGAGTGGCTGGTCAAATTCAGGTTAGATTTACGGACGAAGGGGGCGAGTATCTTTGTGATGCCTGCTGCCATCCGTTAACCTCACCATGGCAGAGCTTGTGTATAGATATAGACTTGGAATGATATATGGCAGATGTGGTCTGTGCACGTGCGAGAATGATGGAACTGAAATTGAACAAAGACCTGACAGAACACCGCTCCGGTCTCCTCTGAAGACATTCGATGATCTTAGCAGTTTCGTTCTTTCTTGGTTAGACGGCCAGGGGGGTTCACTCGACCCATGGGGAGCCCTCGCTATACCTCATTAGGCTGACGGAGCGACTAGTGGCCATTAAGCGAGGCACGATAATATAAGCATGTGGTCAATTGCTTTACCCCTCACTGGTAATCTAATACCACTCGCAAGTTACATCAGAGCAATGCAATTAAGTAAGGGGGCTGACCAGTGTACCAGGCATGTTTACCATCTGAGAGCCACGCGCTATGTAGCGCTTTCTCCTGGGTGATGTCGGAGCTGTCAAGACCGATATCATTGCAGATGACGGGTAGAACGAGGTCAAGATCTTTGACTGCGTCCCAAGTTCGGACTGGTTGGAGCTTTGGCTGAGTGAGCGAGGTCAGGACCGAGGTCCGGCCCGGTCAGCGGACTTTCCATCCACAAAACAATACTCCCACCCTTCTCCTCAATCGGTCGCTGTCGCTTGCAGCTTGTAGCCATTTTGACTGGATCCTGCTCAAGCCACCATAAAAGTATGATACTGTACTATCTGCTCCCCATGGCACACACACCCTGTTTTCTCGGTTTCGTCAGATGACATACCAACTTGGAGTTCATGGGAGATGAATACGTGCTACACCGCTACTCAATGCTACGGCGATTAGTGGCACCGTGGCCTGCTCAATTCATATCCGTTTCTGGTCTTTCCGTTAGATTTTGAAGCGAGATGTATCTGGTTTGAGCTCAAAGACAATTTCAGTCTGTGATATTGAACAGAGCGGCCTCAGCAACCAATTGGCCAGCACAGTCACATCGTCCCCGCGTCAGCAATCTGCAACTACTGCTCATCAAGCGAGTCCTTACCAACATTAAAATTATATTAGTCGACTTCCAGTACATATCCGACCGGCTAGCACAGCCGCCACAAGAGATCTCATTTGCTAACATGGGCTGTTGGCCGCTTGAAGGATCCACAGCAGCAACCGACTTCACGCCATTGACCGAATCACAACCCTGGTTCGAAGTCGCCATCAGAGAGCCCCTCACCAAAGGAGGAGTCGTCTTACTAGACAAAACCAACACACCCCCAGATGACAGAAGCCATGTATCGCATGGAATTTACGCTGCTCTGGAGCCCATACAACCCGGACCACATAAGCACTGCGAACGCCTCGTGCTCCTACGGCTGCGACATCTCAACTGTAAGCCTGGATCCATGTCCTACGTGAACGATTCTGTTAAAACTCCACGAGTAGAGGCTGAATGTAGTGCACGAAGAGCCGAGTATGTGATATTCGGGGCATGATGTTTTAAAATCTTTGAAGACTAATCCGTACCACAATTCCCAACGCTAAGACCCATTCCTGTGAGGAAAGGAAATACTATGTCACAGTAGTTGATAGCATCAGGATGAACACAGAAAGTGCAAAGATGATCCCCAGCATTATTTCACCATAAACCAAGGCAAAAACGACCCGAGTTACTGCATACTTGAAGTCAGTACAAGTTCAACAAGTTCTACCTGCTCGGGCCCAAGGCCCCCAATATATACCGTACCGCTAAATCCAGCCTACGTTCTTGAGCACAGTAGATTCCATTGATGGGGCCGTAAAAAAGGTGAAGACTCGAAGGGCCTCCGGTCTGATCTATGTACATATATAGAACCTCGGATGACGAAGACATTCGTCACATTGACCTCGCAGCACGCCTGTATAAAGCAATAACGCAATTTTATTTGTGGAGAACTAGTTTCAGTGTATGTATGTCTGTACTTTGATCACTTCAGTCAACAATCCGAATAGGTTCATTTGCTGGCAATATCGGTATGAAGCCTTTTTCCACTGACAATAATCAGACCTTTTTGATAGGTATTATACTGTCGACTGCACAATATCGATCGATGTCCAGTTTACTTGACATTTGTAGACTGAGACCTGAGGGCTTCGAGTTTATTAGCGTGGCTTAATCCACACACAGGTATCTAAATTAGAAAATTCATTGGATTAGTGTGCTAATAAGACTGGCATACATTAAGTGAACTTTTCAGACCTGCTACTGGATAAAACATATTGAATCTCGCAGTATATAAAGGCTTTTCTCAGCTTTTATCTCCAGTAATCTTGTCGATCTCAATTTGTATATCTGCCTCAGGGCTAACATAACCTCGTCCTTGCTGGATTTAATTTCCAATGATTTGCCAGCAGAATCAAGAGATTGAGGACGGTTTGTGAATAGATATCGGGAATACGTGCAGGATACAAGCATGCCAGAACGGAGCACAACGCCTTACGAATGAGCTCCCCAGCCAACCCACAACCGCCAGGCCACCGCCGTCTCATCCACCATATCCCAGATGCAGCGGACTAGGCGATCGATACGACTGACAGTTCGCGGTTCCGCCCTGTCGACCGGGAGCCAGGACCACGGTCCACGGGGCGAGCGTCGAAGAATCCTCGAAGGAGTCCACCCTCGCAGACACTCAGCGTCCTGCCGTGTTAAGAGCGTCGGACTCCTGTGTCCGCTCCCCATGCCCTGCTCTTGTCGTTGTCGTTGTCGCCACTTCCATGCCGCCTGTTGAACGGCGGGCCCCCAGAAGTCCCCAAATGCCACAACCGCCTCGTAGCCGCCATTCAACTTTTGATTAGCACCGGGAGCAGCAGAAGCGGACGTGAAACTGGCATCTCCCACGGACGATAGCGGGGGTACTCTGAATGATGGATGCCACTGGACGTAGATTACCTCGTAACGTTGCTCGAGAAGCCAGAGAATCGGCCAGAGCATCATCGACAGAAGGACCAGGAGACCAACAACCCACCACGGCGACGGACCGGGTGCCGCCATGATCCTAAGTCGGTTGATCCAGTGTGGTGAGTAAATAGTCACTGCGCAGTGGGCGGTCGAGGTGGAAAAATGGAGGGAGCCGCGGTACTTCAGCGCACGGAGATGCGCGGTTAATCGGGTGCGTAGAACCTCGGCCTCGGAGTCGAAGTCAGAAACATGGCGATGAATGGTAAATCTTGCGTGACACCATCAGCGCCGATAGGTTAGTGGCCGGATTGTGGACAGGATTGGAGTGGCAACAGAAAAGACACGGGGAGGAGTCCATATACGCACGATTTGAGCGTTGCCGGGTCCGCGCAGAACCGATCACACCATTGCTTCAGTTCGTCGTCCATACTGTCTCTTGCCTGGCTAGGATTGGGATCGACACCGGCTTCGCACGAGTCGAGCGCCATATATTCATAGCCGCTGGTGGAGAGGGTCCGACGCCGGTTATGAGGGACAGAGCAGTCTCCGTGCAGTACAGTGTCACTGTCGCATAGCACATGAATACATCTTCTATCCGCCGGGCCGGCGAACAGCGTCTCCGCGAGGTCTAAAGTAAGCTCGAAGTCTGTCACCGTCTCGTATCGCCATTTCCACTCCGGTCGGCAGAGACGTCGATGTTTTCGAGGTCGATATGGTTGGTGCCCGAAGCTAGGGGACTGGATATGCGACCCTCGGATGTTGACCAAGGGCCGCGGCGGTAGACTCAGTTGCCGGTGAACTTCGCGGTAGAGTGCAGCACTGTCATAGGAGAGTACTGGCGCCAGAGTCGTAGAGACTGGGGGCGGCACGGAACCAGAGTGAATATCTGATGTGCTACCAGGAAGTATGTAGATAGAGTCGTGGAATCGCACGGAGACCCTCCGATTCAGGCATCGGAACATGTCTTCGAGCCCCAAAGACAAGGGCTTATGGTCGGGGTAGTTTGGGTAAGGGGGTGACACATCAATATACTGACCATCGAATGAGAACAAGCCCTGCACATCCTCAACTGAGGTGTTGTATTCGGGGAGACGCCCCATTGATGCGTTGAGAGACTCAGGAGATGCCGCCGAACCCAGGCAGTGTAAGGAGGAGGAACAGAGAAGGTGCTTAATGCGACAAACGTGAGGCGCGAAGATAGCCAGACTAAATTTTGTTCCTCAGGACATGGAAAATTAGAGTTGGACTGTTGAAGCTTAGCCACTATTAGGATCCTGGTGCTAATTAAAGAAAAGGCTCCTAGTGGGAGCAAGTTCCGACATACTTGACTTACCTTCGGAAGCAAACAAAAAACATTAATCTGGCTGCCTATTTCGTTTATCCTCTGACTCCGAGCCGATCGGGCGCAAGGATGGCGAAGATAGTAAAGATAGTCAGCTCACAGGGTCAGTCCTATGGCTGCCGCCGGAGTTAGGGCGGGCGCTAAGCCAACGGAATTGGGTGGGGCGGGAACTGTGTACGGTATTACACATACACATACACATACACATAGACATGGATTATATTACGGATACCGGTTGACCCGCGATGCGAGGCGCAGCAGAAATGGTCTCTTCTTACACCCGGTCCCAGGTCCCAAGTCACAACCAGTTGCTCCCCGGTTGAGTGTCCCCGCTGCTTGAACGCGCGTTTGGGAGGTTGAGGTGGCGAAGTGATTAACAAGTCCAGACCCGTCGTGGATGACTGCGGAGAGATTGATGTCCTGATTGACGGCCGGGCTTATCTGACTTGAGACGTTGGATATCCACATGGGGTCCTTTGGTACCGGAGCTACGAGCACGTCGACCTCTGCTCATCGTACAATACTGTTCTGTGTCAGAGGATTTCCAACAAGGAAGCGACGGACAACGCTAGCTCCTAGAATGCCTCGCCTGACTTCAATCAATTTCATCGACGTTTGTTTCTGAACATTCCAGGCGAGATCTTCCGCGCGATCTCTGTGGCTGGAATATTGTCTTCATAATGAATGGTTCCGCAGTGTCCTGGCTCGGGCCATTTCTTGCTTCTAGGGCTTAGGATGTTGCGAGCCTGCCAGAATTGTCTAGTCTAGGCAGACGATGGCTCGTTGGCTGATGCACGCTACCAAGAAAGCGAATTGGTTAGTTACCTTGGTTGGCTATCGAGAAGAAACAGTAGCTTCCCCTGACTAGAGACAGTAAGACAGCCTGGCTAACCACATGTACCGTGAAACAAACCCACCTAATTCCGTTATTTCTGTCCCTTGTCCCCACCAACCATTCTTTAGCCAAAGTGGTGCTCTGCGCTGTGGCGCAGTAAGAGAAAACGTTCCGGTCTTGGGACTTCAGTTTCCTCGATTGAATCCTGCTCTTATCGTGGACATCACATCTCTTCTCCTTCCTCTCAATCTCAATAAACCCCCAGAACAACATCCCTCGTCAGCGGCAGTCATATTTCATCATGGGCCACGCGGTCTGCAACTCTACGACGGAAGACCAGACGCGTAAGTTGCCGCTCTAGGGGTTCTCCTACTCCAGTTCGAATGTATCTCATTGACACATAGCCCCGCGTCTGATAGTCACCGAGACTCCGCTGTGGAATGGCGACCTCACCTTTCACGATCTCTGTCTGATTATCAGTGGTGTATTCGCCATCATTGCGAGCATAGTCTCGATTGTACCGATCATGGGCCATGCCCTTCATTATACTAAGCCAATTGAACAACGACAGTAAGACACCCTTGGCCAGCGACTTCATTGGCAGTAATCTAAGCAAGTGCTTCTCCAAGGGTCATACGGATCTTAGGGATGGTCCCTGTCTATTCCCTTGTCTCATGGTTAAGCATCTACTACTACAAAGAGTCGGTCTACTTCGAAATCATCGCCACCTCCTACGAAGCCGTCGCCATCTGTGCCTTTTTCACGCTCCTGTGCCATTATATCGCACCGGACCTACATAGTCAAAAGGCATATTTCCGCAACATTACACCGAAGCAGTGGATATGGCCTCTACCTTGGCTTCAAAGATGCTGCGGGGGAGAGCAGGGGTTCTGGAGGACGCCCCGGAGCGGTCTGACCTGGTTCAACGTCTGAGTGATCTATTGCCCGATCTCCCTTATTTCCGACACAGCCCAGATGCTAATATTAGTGTGGTGGCAATAGGCTGTGTGGGTAGACATCTTCCAGTACTGTCTCTTGCGGGTGCTGCTGAGTATTCTTTCCATTATCACCGAATATTTCCACATCTACTGCGAGGAGACTTTGAGTCCTGCCTTTGCTTATGTCTGGGTACGAGACCCCTTGCTATCTTTTCTTTTTTCTTCCGTGTCCGCCTGGGGTTTGGCTATTGATTGACAGGACATCGTGGTCCTACTGTTCAGATTCTGGCATTGGACTGCACCGCTGTCGGCATTGCTATGTTCTGCCTAGTGCAATTCTACCTCCAAATTAAAGAGGTGATCGACCAACATTCACCGTTCCTGAAGCTTCTTTGTATCAAGCTGGTGATATTTCTCTCGTTTTGGCAGTCGGTGAGTGGTGTAGACTCCTATCGCGTCCATGCGCCCGAGATATCGCTTTTGTTTCTCTCCTGTGCGCTCCTTTGATCAACGACAGACCGCATTGATGTTCATATCTGTACAGAGCCTTGTCAGTCTGCTCTCCTCATCCGGCGTCATCCAAGCGAGCCCCAAAGTTCAATCGCCAGACATCACTGTGGGACTCCCCAACCTCCTCATATCCATTGAGATGGCCTTATTCGCGGTTCTCCATATGTTTGCCTACCCATGGGAGCCGTATCTCCCCTCAAATATCGGAGAAGTGACAGACCTCTACGGAAACGGATCGGCAGTGGTGCAAGGGGGCCGCTGGGGCCTGGCTGCATTACTCGATGCCTGGAACCCGCGCGACCTCCTCAACGCGGTGGCCCGCAGCCTGCGATGGATAACGGTGGGGCGAAAGGCGCGTTGGCAGGATCCAAGTTATGATCATCGCCCGATTTTGACCGAAGCGGGCGACGGCGCACGGGGGTTGACTATTGCCCTTGATGAGGTGACTGGGGTTGCGGAGCGAAAACTGTCAAGTACTCCTCCGACTTCTGTACAGGAAGTCATTTGAGATGTTAGGCTACACTGAAGATCAAACATGAATTCAATTTATCTTTGTGCGCAGACTTTTGGGATTGGGTGCCTTGTCACTTGGGCTGGTTGGTCTGCTTCATCCGCTCGTGCTTGCATGGACCAAGGTGCATAGGGAGATCGAGAACGATAATCTCCGGAGAGGGATTACGTGAAATAGGAGACGAACGGGGTGATTAGAACCGTATGGGCGTACTAAAGGGGCAAGATGCCCGACCTCTATTTGCAATGTATTGATGGTGGCAGGCCCTGAGAGTAGATCTAAGCCTGGTCAAACTGGGCTCCCGCCAGCCCGGTGACGGCCAACAACCCCACTAGACCTTGGATGCGCTCACCCACCAGCGCTTGACAGGACATGCGCCTCAGATTATGAATTCCCATCCAGATATCGGTTAGATACGCATCTCGGGGCCCGTGGCACAAGCACATGAGAATCAATGACACGCATGCGCTCTCAAGGAAGAACCCATTCCCGGGGAGGTCCTGCACATTGGTAGACAGTTAGCTGGATTATATGTATACCAACCAACACCGGCCTGCCTACCTTGACCACCGAATTGAGATCGATCGCCTGCCCAATTATTCTGATTAGGGATCGGGCGGCCCGCACGGTGTGCGCACCGGCAACTTCAAAGATAGATGAGGAGATGGTTTCATCGGGGTATCGCAATCGTACGCGGTGCAAATGCAGGAGCTTCATCATCAGAAAGGGACGGAACAGGATTTGGATCTCATAGTAGAATACTATTGCCCTCGTCAGGATAGGCAAATATGCCCGGAAAAGAGGCATGGTCAACGTACGAACAAATATTAAAACCTCCAACACGATCCTCTGCTGATGATGCGCAGCATACAGCAGACGACACCGATTCGATGCCTCCAGCAAAGCGATTTGTAGCGATTGGTGAAGCTCAAAGGAAGCTTGGGCGAGGGCGTCCGGATACAGCCTCAGTCGCTTTTGGGCTTGCTTGATCTGGGCTGTGATTCGTGCGAGTTGGTGGATCGCAGATAGGACAGGGGGTAACTGGCCATTGGCAGTCGTGTCGGGGAAGATTTCATTCTGATCGAGGTCATCCGGGACACATCCGACACAGAGCGAGAGAAATTGAGCGAAAGCGTTCAAGGTGACGGCGGTAGAGGTTCGCCCTTCGCCGGAATCTGTGCTGATCTCGGTATCGGCGCGCTCTTTGCCGGCCAGATAGCCTCGGCGCGCCTGCGTTAAGATGGTATACGCGATTCCATGTTGGTTTATGTTAAGGTAATATTGTGCGTGCTGTCGGCGAGTCAGTTTGTTGGTATACTGGAGTTGCTTGTCCGGAGAAAGGGGGGACCTATCTGAAGCAGCCGGTGTTGCTACATAGAGAGCGTGTTTCCTCCCATCTGCATCTCCGCGTAGCGATATGACTCATTAAGAAGGTACTCTGCTAATGGATAATACTCGGTGCAAGAGGCACCGATGGCGAGAACGGCGAGAACATTAGCCCAGTCCATCGGTGAAGACAGACCAGGTGATCCTACGACCCCAAACACATCGCACAACGCGGCTTGCAGAGAGTTGATCGGGTAATAAGGATTCAGGTGCCAGAAAGACGAGGTGAAGATATTCAAGCAGCGGGTAGCCAGATTGGGGGACAAATACTGAAGATCGGGGATGCTGACGGTCATAATGGGAAGAAGGTCCCAGGGCGAGACCGAGGACTCGAATACCAGAGTGCGTATTTGGTGGCTAGGGACATCGAAACCTTGAAAAAGAGTGTGGATCCAGTAGTACACGGCGTAGTCTGTTCCGTTCTCAGTCCCCAAGATGGAGGGGCTGCTGGGGCTGCTGCTGCTGCTGCTGCTGCTGCTCGGGTTAAGAGAGGAGCACGGAACCTCTGATATCGCCTTCAAGATTGGCAGAGGCATTGCCCCAGGCCGCCGCCGCAATGATTCTCGGTAGACACATGGTCGACTTCTCTGCTCGCACCGTTGACAAGGGTACTGGGCGCTACATTTCAACTTTGCTGCACGACACGCCTCGCAGGCCTTGTGCGCATAGGATCTCTTAACTTGGGGGGCATTTGTCAAATAACTTGAAGACTGGGCAGAATGTTCCTGATCAGCATTTTGCATGTTCTAGAATTCGGAAACTCTTGGGAGAAAACTATGACTGTTCAGGTGGGCGGTTGTGTGTTGGTCAGAAAACGAGATCCCGATGCGGAGCGGAGGCAAATAGAAAAATATCATGATGATGATGCTTACAAAGTAATTTTGTCCCGTAGTTTCGGGCAGCCCCACCTAATTCCGTTGTACGGGTCTAGCATTGGTAAAATCAGGTAAGATAGACTAGGTTGTAAAATTGGTTACCGGGGGTAACGTTTGTAACGAAGGCAAAAAAAAAAAAGTCTATATTGAGGGGAACCAAAAAAACAAAAAGAAAAAGAAAGTATAACCCAGGGAGACAACCAAGCCACCCCCCACAGGAAGATGTCATGACCACTAGTACGGAGTCTGCTGGGAGAAATACTTTAGAATGAAGTTCGTCTTCTCCGGGCTGGTGATCAATTGGGGCTGGAAATTGTCACCAAGTTCCATCACCACCGGCTTGCCCTCGTTGGTGTTGGGTTCCCAGCGAGCCAACACGCCCGACCCAGTGTAAGAGTTACCCCGGTTAGGATCCAGGGTCTTGGCGAAATTGGCCCAATATGATGACATCTGATCGGCGATGATGTAGTCTTCATCGGTGAAAGGGTAGTATTCGGCACAGGCATACATAGCGTTCAGGGCGTACATGATTTCCGACATGTGGAAGGCGCCTTCGCTCTGGCCCGGGGGCGCGTGAGTCCAGAAGTAGGTGTAGAAGTCCGAATCCGCCGACTCATACCATTGGGTGGCATAGGCCCACGACCCTACTTTGCCCTGGTCACGGGCTGCATTGTTCCACCCCTCCGCCGCGATCGTCTGGTTGTTGTGGTCGGGATAGAGCTCGAAGAAGCGCTTGGCCAGATTCTCGCCATACCGGAGGGTGTTGTACTCGTGGTATTGCTCCACCGTGTAGTTCGTTGTTGTGGATGCCCCGGATTCGTCTTTGGTATTGCCAGTGATGAGAGGCACGTCGTTGGCAGGGCCATCACGCAAGGTCTGGAGATAGGTGGAGGGCAAAACATATCCATCAAGAACTGGCTTGAAGATATCAGGATACCCACATGAAAGGGCTTCAACCCAGTTGATCCATGTGTTGTTGACCTTATCAGTAGAGCCAATCATCAACTCGGCAGTAGAAAGAGTCCGCAATTCAGCAATAGTAGAGACGTTGTGAACAGCGGTATAGTTCAGGCCATGGTTAAGAGCGGCAGACATATTGTTGTACGACGTAGCGAGCCCGGCAAGCATGGGATCATAAGGATAACGAATTCCAGATTGCGAAATAGCACCATGGAACAGGCCTGAGAAAAGGGGGCTGTTGACCGCGTGGTAGACCTGCGATGAACCAAAGGATTGCCCAGCAATCACAACGCGATCAGGATTCCCGCCGAAATTAGCGATATTGGACTGCACCCATTTGAGGACCTCGAGAAAGTCAAGAACACCGTAGTTTCCAGATGTATAGTGACCGGTGGTGTTGAAGCCCTCTTGGTTCAGCTCAGGATGGGCTAGATATCCAAAGACATCATCACGACGATTAAACGAGACGAGGATCACATCCTTCAACGCCATTCCACCGCCGTACCAGTAGGGAATATTACTGGAGAGATCTGATCCCTGATTCCAGACCATAACGGGCAGCTTCGCATCGGATGAAGCAGCATTGGTCCAGATATTGAGATTAAGGCAGTCTTCACTAGAGTTGGTAGACATAGCCGTCGGGCAGGTATAACCAAATGCAACCGCGTCGAAGGTCTCATTCCATGGTTCACGCGGTTGAGGAGGTCGCCAGCGGTTGTCGTAGCTAGTATCCGCTGCATAGGGAATTCCCAGATAGGCGGTGACGTTAGACTCGGAAACATTGAAGTACGTCTCGAGGGTAGCTTGATCAAAGTACTTGAAGCCTTTCACAGGACCATAGATAGTATCGATTGTCTGGTCCCAGAGCTGCGCTTGTACCGTGACAGCAAGGGCCAAGGAGGCGAGGCCTCGCCGAACAAAAGGGCTGGTTGTCGGCATCACAAACGAAGGTAAATGATAAGGTAATGAACGCGTTGCTGCTGCTGATGTTGAACAAAATGGAAAACAGAGAATGAATGAGAGAGTGACTTGCTTGTGAGAGAGGAATTGCCAAAGACAAGAAGAGCAGATTGAAGTACACTTATATAGTGCAATAGTGCAGGATTTCTACCTTCGGCACTTTGTCAGGGAAGAGACGCAAGCCCAACCGACGGGGTCGGGACTCGTTGCCTTCAACAGAAAAGTGTAAGACCCACGGGGTCCGTCTGCAGTTGTTGTGCTTGTGGGAACATGAAGGTAATCTGTTGACGCAGTCGCTGCTCATGCATGCTGACCGATCCCGCTATTGTGATTCCATCCCCACCCAATTCCGATCCCCGAGCAGAAGACGGGAGAATACCCGGCTTTACGCCTGGGTGAGAAGACTTACGAGACAAAAATGCTTCAGAACTTGATCCACTGGTCTGAGTATAGGCAGCAAGATATTCTTCTCAGTTGGTTTTCATCCCTTCTACCTTTCCGCGTTACAGACTACGTGCTGCTGTGCTCCCGTTAATCTCGGGGATAAGCACCAAGTAATATGAAATATAGTACAGTACATCTCCCCGGTGGCGCAAAATCGTGGTGGACGCGTCACTCGTGTCCCGAAGAACCTTCAAGCCTACGGCTCATTCTGAAATAGAAGCTCAAGTCTTGCATTGAGGTGAAACAACCTTTTCACATGGCGTGAGAGGCAAGAGGGCAATGATTCCGTTTCTTATCGTGCTGTTAGATTGAGATTGTAAAGTATTTAAGATACAGCTACCGACCATACTGTACGGTACTGTACGTACGACTCCACTTGAGCCTGCATCAACAGTCAAGTTACTGCGAGCTTAAACGAACATGCCCAGGGCCGGGCAAGCTTGGAAGAGTACATAAAGCTACAACAAAGGCCGGCGGTTCAGTAGGGAAATGTAGTTCAACACGCTTCTTTGTTCTCTCAACTCTGCTTAATCCCACTCGTTCATTCTTTTGTCTCAGTTTATCCATTTTATATATTCCATCATTGGTAATGCGCTATCTTTGGCACGTGGCCACCCTGGCCCTTTCGGCCACAGCACTTGCAACCTCCCTGGCGGATGTCTGCACCATTTCCTATGTTCGAGGCGTCTTGCCAGCTAATGGAACTTTTCTGGGCATCACTTTGAACCCGGACTCCGTCATGGCCAGTCCTGTCTACAACAAGAGCATTCAGGCCAATGCTTTCTTTCCCGCCACCACGGTCGACTACTGTGGGGTAACCCTTAACTATAGCCATAGCGGCCTCAACGATAACGTCCAGCTCACGTACTGGCTACCCGATCCGGCTGATTTCCAAAACCGGTTCTTGACCACAGGCGGAGAAGCCTACAACATCAATGAGGGTTCCATGATCCTGGCCGGAGGTGTGATGTACGGGGCGGCGGCCGGGCTGACGGACGGGGGTTGGGGCAGTGCCTCCTTTGACGAGGTCTTTCTCGTTGCCAACGGCACAGTAAATTGGCAGAACACCTACATGTTTGCCCACCAGGCTATCCATGAGCTGACCATCATCGGCCGCCAGTTTTCGCGGCTGTTCTACAATCGAACGGAGGAGACCAAGATCTATAACTACTACCAGGGCTGCTCGGAGGGTGGACGCGAGGGATGGTCGCAGGCCCAGCGATTTGGGGATGACTATGACGGTATTATCGCCGGCAGCCCGGCATTTCGATATGCCCAGCAACAAGTTAACCATCTATTTTCTGCTGTTGTGGAGCAAACCCTGGACTATTACCCCCCTCCCTGTGAGTTGGACCGGATTGTGAATGCGACTATTGAGGCGTGCGATCCACTTGACGGACTGACTGACGGGGTTATATCGCGGTCTGATCTCTGCAAGTTGCACTTTGACCCAACCACTCTGGTCGGCACCCCCTATGCTTGTGCTGCCAGTTCCAGTAGCGGTATTGGGCTGGGATACGGCAAGAGGCAGTCTGCCACCCTCAACCCCGCTCAGAACGGCACAGTCACGGCTGAAGCCGTGGCAGTGGCGCAGACCATATTGAAGGGGCTCCAGGACTCCGACGGGCGCCAGGGCTATATCCCCTACCAACCGGGAGCGGATTTCAATGATGCACAAACAGTTTACAATGAGGAGACCGGCTCCTGGACGCTAAACCTCGGAAGCTCCAACAGTGAGTTTGTCCAGAAATTTGTCCGACTTGTCGACGAAGAACAACTCTCGAGTCTAGATAATGTGACCTACGATACTCTGATTACGTGGATGCAGACAGCATGGATACGATATGAAGATTCTTTGCAAACCAATAATCCCGACCTCACCACGATTCGGAAGGCAGGTGGCAAAATTCTTCATTTCCATGGTGAGTCGGACTCCAGTATTCCCACTGGCTCCTCTGTGCATTACTACGAGTCGGTGCGCCAGATCATGTTCCCAGATTCCGGTATTCAAGACGGGGCTCATCAGCTCGATGATTTCTACCGGCTGTTTCTTGTTCCGGGTGGCGCCCACTGCGCCTCGAATAGCAAACAGCCCAATGCACCCATGCCCAACACCAATCTCGCCGTAATGATTGACTGGGTTGAAAAAGGGAACGCTCCAGTAACTCTGAATGCGACCGTTCTCTCGGGGGTGAATGAGGGCAAGCAGCAGCAGCTGTGCGCCTGGCCCAAGCGCCCTTTGTGGAGGAATACCACTGGCAGCCAGGCGATGCAGTGTATCTATGACGATGCGTCCTACCAGAGTTGGGTATACAGCCTGGACGCTTACACGCTTCCCCTCTATTGAACCGAGAGTTGGAATGTCATGGTCTAACCATCAACTGGGATGATCGGTATTGACCTGTTAGATAATGTGAAGTACCCGGAGCTGGTCAATACTTGCGACATGGCTGGAACGTCTTGGGAAGGGGAGGGGGGTCGAACTTCAGCCGGGCTTTGAGGCTTAAGCTCCAATGCAGGGTAGTACTAGTAGGACTATCTTAAAGGGTTATGCCGCCTCCTTGCAGTCACTTATTCCTTACTGTGTAGAGGTACATCCAGCCAACCCCTCGTCACTAGAAGGCAGATTTTGTACTTTTATTATCCTTACAAAACCCGAAATAGCCATCGATCAGAGTGAATACATATCCTGCAATCAAGTATAGTATATTTCAAAAAAGCAATATGGGATCTCTGTCCAGAGTTAATCATACTAGTATCTATTGCATACTACCACGACTCAGTCAGCGCATAATAGACGCGAAATCATCCATGAGCTCAAGGGAGGCCCGAACAAACTCAGTTGATAGAGAGAAGCGGAGTTCGGCAATTTGAAACATCGCCTTAAATGATATCATGCACCGTAGCCTGCTCTTCTCGAATAAACTCAATCTTACTGGTATAAGTGACAAAGCCTTAGTGCTGGGATGCAGATGACAGGAATGGTGTCCGAAGAAGGTCGCTTGCCGAAAGTCGGTCGCGAGGGCTTACTTGCAACATAAGGGAAATGAATGATGCCGAAGTCTCCACATTCTTGGGACCAAATCTATTCGGTAGCCTGCCACTCAGGTATCTCGTGAAGTTCTCATCCTCGTGGCTGTTTGGACTGAGTCTTTGGTTTATGAGAGAACAATCGTCATTGTCTATCTCCTCGCCTGTAAGATGAAATGTATCCAGAGGGAACAGGGGCTCAGTTGTTGCAAGTTCGAATAGCTTTGAATCATAATTAGAAAGTGAGGATAGGCTTCAACAAAAGGATTATAGCATACCAAACAACCCAGGCGTTCAAATGTCTACGGCTCTATCTATAGTATTGCCATTGATATGTTGTCTTATCAGCTCAGGTGCACGCAAGGCCAGAGGTCTTACCGGTTGATGATCGCAGCGTCAGATATATTGAGCTAATATTTTACGCGAAGTCTGAGTAATGCTGACCACACAAACTAGCCGAATAAGTATATCTTACCTCCGCCCAGATCACCGATCCTAACCTGGATTGTCGAGGAATCTGCATTATCCAACTCGCTTCAGCGCCTTTGCGTAGGCATTAGATATCTGGGGGATCTGTCGTCTTCAACCACACCTGGTAACCATTTGACGGGGCTAAACTCGAGAGGCTATAACAGCTTGTCCATTTTCGTGGACCCGGCTACCGAAGGATGTTTGCTGGTTGCAGATCTGCACTTAAGATCAGACCGCTGCTTGCACCATCTGAGAGCTCCGTACATACCACAATGAACGACGGCTGACTGATGAAGTCAAGGCCCAGCAGAATCTGATGAGAAACAGCCCGAATATATCCTGCTTCTCGCGGTTTCCCGCTGATTTTGATTGCCTCCCCATCGGATATCAGCGCGGGAAAACAAGACACAAGTGAGTTCCATTCGGACCCGTTTGAGAAAAATGATTGAGTCAACAGCATATCTCCTTCCAGGGTGGGCTGTGTCAGAACATGACAGAATCAGAAGGAAAGAGAGCTCCTTGTTGTCTTGGGAAGCTCCTGATTCTGAACTTTTCAAAACGACCTGTCGCGAGTCTCTGCAAAGCGTTACATCCCAGCCTGTTATTCTTGACCCAATGCCGCAGTCCATGGAGGATGACTCACTGTTGCCGGTCCTTTGCAAGCCAGTCTTCCAGTGACTTCGTATCTCTGATGAAACGCGTCACCAAGGTGCACTGGATGATACCCCCCCCTCGGGGGGATACTCCTCTACGAGCTCCAGCACATCCTAGATCCGTTCGAAGCGACGCATTGTTGATACCGCGTAGTGACGATGATAAGTGATCGGATGCACTTGCGGTGTCTAAGGCTGAAAAAGTCACGGTCAGAGGATAGGGAGAAGTTCGTTGGCCAATTCCAGGCCGAACAGAAGACGGTTATCGAGTCATGTGACCTGCTTCGAGTCCTAGCGTCAGCATGCCACATCCGGGCGTATTCCCTCCAACGCGGACCATCTATGATCCGTCACCACGCATAGTCAAATGTCTACCGGGGTATACTGGGTTAGATAAAGGCTCAAATGAAGAGGGTTAGCAATTTAATCGAAACATTCAGTTATATATGTCTAAGTAAGGAACAAACCGAAGTCTAGAGCGCAGGGAACCCCCTTTAGCTGAAAAGCACCTTTTCTGAACTAGATATGGGATGAGATTTGGTTTGTTCATTTGGAACCAAGGATATGTCTTCATGATATTCTTCGCAACCAGACGAAGGAGTTTGGGCTCGAGGTCTAGAAGATGACGCCCTTGTTCGTCTGTAAGAGCATGTTTACTAAATAACAACGGGTAAAGAAACAGCCATTGGGGGGTCCCAATAACTTTCACCAGATCTGGCTATTGCTCACAGCTCTTGCTAGATATTGACACCCATCTTGGCACATGAACAGGAATACAATTTTTTCGGGATCGTACAGCACACTACCATAGTCAATAACCAGAAGTAGACAGAATGCATCGATCATACGCTCGTCTTCATGCTCATAATAATCTCGAAGTAGGTAGTCTAGCGCTGTGTATCTCCCTTGTTACAGATCATTCGGACGAGCACCATACCGAAGTTGAAGAAGCACTATTTTCTTCTTCTGCAGGGCCACAGCCACGTGCAGTATGGGAGAGTGGCCATGGAGCTTGAGGTTTGGACTACCTCCGGCTTTTAAAAACTCTCTGACTTCCCCAATACCATTTTGCATATGATGCTTGCTAGTCGAGGCCATTTATCCCATCCCAACTCATGATTCAGTATCCACGGCTGATGGTGTATATCAACAAAAGAGAGCGCACAATCTGTAAATGCTTTGGCTTTAGCCATTTTCTTTAATGAACTTATTAAATAGCTCTTTGCAGGTGCGGCTGAGCCTGCTAAGGAAATGACCATCGAAATAGCTGGCATAGTCGAGGTGTAGCTCATCTGACAACTATAGAAGAATAGCAGAGACCATCCTGAGACAATTTACCACCAAGTACAAGTGATACAGGCAGCAGTGAAAATGTAAGAACGGTAGAGGTTTTTTATTATCTATACAGTGGCACGTTAATTGGCAATCATGAATAGCCGGTAGGGACTTGCCATTAATCATAAAAGGATTGGCAAGACCTCAAAGTCAGTATTATATAATTAATGACAGCCCCCAAACCACGTGGTACTTGGATCAGACAAAGATTTTACAACTCCACCTACCGGGGACAAAGAACACGTTACTGTGAATTTAATATAATCCATATGGCTGTATTGCAGTGTTCAAAGAAGTGCCAGAAATAGGGCAGGGGTTTTCCAGGTCCGTTCTTTGTAGTAGCGATTTATAGATGCAGAGCATACGAGCAGCCTGATACATGCATATCTTTAAGGAAAATCGGAATTCTTCCATCTGGTAGGGAAAGGCGGAGCTGGGAAGTTCCGGGCATGGTTCTTCTTGCAGGGTCATGCTTGTCTACAGGAGTACTTGCGATTTTCTTTTAAGCTGGGGAGTTGAGCTCTTATATCGCATGCAGACGTTAATGGATCTATTACTGCGTAACCGTAGCTTTCTTACTTAATCCTCTATTTTGGCACTGAGTAACACCTTCCATTCGTATCGAAACCCCGAACTGTTTTACTATGTATCTGGAATACAACCAATGCTGCTGTGTGGCTGCAAGAACTTTGATGTAATGCTTTGCCCTGGACATATTATTGTGGCCGTATTTTACCGCTGCCTCATAGGCGAGGCGATAAGACTTAAGGGCTCTGGTAAACAAAAGCCGTCTGTCTTTCCATCCGACGGCACGTCGGAGCTTATCACTCCCAACCCACTAAGAAAATCCAGTCAAGACCTGGACGATACCGAGCGCCTCATCTGGGTCTTTATGCGGAGGCTTGTACACCACACCCTTTACAGGACTATATTCCTGAACCAAGACGGCCGCAAATCTCTTCCAAGGTCTCGTACCGTCTGGAGGAGACGTTGTAGCATTGACCGGTCACTTCAGTCCGGTTAGAGGCGGCAAGGCGATGTACGCGTTTGCGCAATTATACACATGGGTGCCTTGAACAATGCCTTTCGGATGAGCCGGCAGGATGAGGGGTGTGTGAGTTGCTTCGGCTTGGTGGGCTAATACAAATAACAGGCCATAGTAGCTGCCGCTGCGGCCAGAGACTATGGTGGGTCGAAGTAGCACTGTATCAGAGGAGTGGAAATACTGAAAAGTGTTATCGGATGCGCCAGCCCGATCAGCAATGGCAGCGAGCGGGTGCAAGGGAGACTAGGACACGGCTGTTTCAATTGCAGTGTTTGACAAAGAATGCTGTGCAGAGACAGACATACACGCACTCCAAGGCTTCACTGCAGGTGTAATGCTAGGAATTTTCGCTCTGTATCTTCCGGGTTCAGACAACACCCGAACCGCTAAACGTGGGATCTCTACTAGGTAAGTTAGGCTTATCAACTTACCTAATCTTGTCGGCTTCCATGATAGCGCATGGGCGCAATCCCAGCCTTGTGGAATAGTTTGAGAACCATCACCCGGACCTCTCTCCCTTGGTATGATGATCATGTCATACCTCCATAACACTGTCTGTCCGGGTATGACATCATAGCCAACGTGCTAAGCCGTAGGGGGACATCGCCATACCGGAGAGTACACACTGTAGCTGGCTTTTCTCAGTTGTTATTCCGGTTATAAACTAATTCCACTGCTATCTCCATCTAATCGAGCCCGAGTGAGCTAAGGGGCGGAGTTAACGCGGAGTTTAAGCCTCGGCACACGGGACTCCAGGCTAACTTATACAAAAGCTTGTTAAGGCTAAGATTACAGTTTCTCAAGATGTGCAATACTTAATGTGTGTATTTCCTATGGACTTGCTTTCTCGAAATCATCGATTATTATTCCCCACCTACAAAAATTGCATTATTCTCATTGAGATACCACTTCCTCGAACGGTCAACACCACGACAGTTTACCACAAGTTATCACCGAACCCTTCACTAAAAACCAAGATGACGTCCGACATCCCCGACATCCCCACATTCCTCCCCAGTATTCCTCCGCAAACCAAAGACGCCATCATCGATCCTGTATACCGCGCCCTTCTCGCGATTGACACCGCCAATCCTGCCCTTTTCGCCTCTGCCATCCACGAAGCCGCCCGCTTCAGCTTGAACGGTCGTCTTCTCGAGGGCGCTGAAGCCATTAAGACACATGTGTACGATACAGTGTCCAAGATAGACACGACCCACCACCTGTCCAACCTCCGCGTCACCGCATTCGATGAGGTGAAAGGTACGGCTAGCTTGGTTGCTACCGTTCTGGCACAGCACTACCGACAGGCAGAGGGACTGGATGCTTCTTCCAAGGGATTGTTGGCGGGAGGTTTTTATTTTGTCGAAGCTGTCCGCGAAGGGGAAGATAGTGATGTGTGGAGGGTTAAAGAATGGGCCTTGAGGGTTCTTTGGAGGGAAGGCGACGAGAGCGTAATGGCGAGCGTCAACGGAAAGGGTGACAAGAAGGAAGAGTAGAGAGGGAGGTCTTATATGGAACAAGATGCGGACGACTATATGTAAATGATCTGGCTGGGTGATTGGTATCTTATGAGAGGCACGCATGATGGATTACTAAGGCATTCCAAATCCAGAACAGCGATCACCAACGGATGATTTAACATGAAGAATCGCTGAAAGAGAGTGGTAAATCAGCGGTTGCTCGATGCCTGGACATCCAAGGCAAGTAATCCAATCCATCAAATTGTGCAGCTGAAACGGGCAATGGTTATTGATCAAGCGTGGCCCAATGTCAGTAGAACCTTCATACTGCGGTGTGTCGAAGCCGCCCGAAATACCTCATATGCTTGCTCAATTTCGTCGAGTGCAAATGCTGCAGTTGTTAGCTTTAAGCAAACGCAGAAACATCTCAGACGGGCAGGAAGCTCACTGTGGGAGAGGAATGCGTCCGGAGTCAGTATTCCAGCCTGGACCATCTTCAGTAACTCGGGCGTGGTCCTTGTGTCCACAAGGCTGGTCCGTAAGCCTACATCCATTGTTAGCTCACCCTTCCTCAAGCAGAGTACTTGGAGGAACGGACAAATATTGCGATGCCACAAGTGCTCCAGATGGAAGGCACAACTGCTGCCATGCACTCCAAGCGACGCAATAGTGCCACCCGGTGCGACCAGATACTGCGAGAGATCGAATGTTTCCTTGGCTCCAGCGGCTTCGATCACTACGTCGAACAGCTCTCCATCCGTCAACCTCCGACAGGCCTCGAGGGCCTTTTCTCGACCGTCAAGGGTGGTGAGGGCATGATCGGCGCCCAATTCTTTCGCCCGCTCCAGTCGATACTCCCCCCTACTAATGATGACAACCTGTCGAGGCAGCCCATAGCCTCGTTTTAGGATCATCAGTGCCGTCAGCGCAATGGGTCCTGCGCCGAGAATGGCGACTCGTGCGCCCGGTTTGATGTCGCCGTTAATTATACCGCATTCAAATGCAGTAGGAAACACATCCGACAACATCACGTATGCCTTGGGATCGATTCCCTGGGGAAGCTGGTGGAGAGAGAAAGCGGCATGCGGAATCCGGACGTATTCTGCCTGCGTACCATCGATCTGGTTGCCCAAAATCCACCCCCCAGACGTACATTGGGAGGACATCCCCCTCCGACAGAACCGACAGTGGCCGCAAGAGGTGATACAGGAGATCAGGACAGTTTGACCGACTTGGAGGTTGGTCACGCTTGGTCCGACCGAGTCGACAATTCCGACGCCCTCGTGGCCTAGGATACAGCCTGGTTTGCATGGGATGTCATTTTGGAGGAGGTGGAGATCTGTGCCGCAAATGGTGGTATAGGTCATCTTCACAATGGCATCTGTGGGCTCTTCAATCGAAGGTTTTGGACGCTCTTCAATGGCAAGACGGTGAGGACCATGGTAAACAACCGCTTTCATTGTGTGGATGGACCCCATGGTGCAAGGCAGTTCTCTGGGATCTTATGTATGGATCTTATATATGGATCTTATGTTGGAGTGACATCCCCCCGCCCCCTCCGCACCGCACCCTTTATATACTTATTTCGACAGTGAGTGTTTGCGTTGCATTGCTTAGGTACTTTTAGCACTCTTCGCTCATGCAGCATGCGGAGATGTCATGTACTAAGTGACCAATTATAGTTACCACCAGGGTCGGCTTGAACTGCTGGGTGAAGGTAGCGAGCTGCATGGCGTTGAGCTGCTGCAGTTACTTAGCTTAATCAAGCTACGCGTATCTGCGCGGGGTCGTATTCCGCGGAGAAGACAGATCCGTGTGATAGATGTCTCGGAGATGCCGGGGACTTTCTCACTCGATATTATCCTTGACTATTCGGCTACAAAGTTTGGATGGAAGTCTCTCTTCTTATTTGGCTTTGTTTTCTGCTGCTCGAGTATTCCGTACGTGATCTTCGATAGCCGCGATTTCTTTCTTTCCGAGAAAGCGGTAGGCGGTACGTAGCGGCAAACGATTTCGCCTATCCATCTAGTAGCCCAAGCTTTATCCCTTGCCCAAGTGATGAAAAAAACAGAAAGAAAACAGAAAGAAATATGAGGAGAAAAGCTTTACCTCAAACGGCTTCAGACTTCCTTCTCCTCGACTCCCGCCCCCTCTCCGACCAGGGAAAATGCCAGACGGGGATGATGAAAAAGCTGTTGCTCGTGTCGGCAATTCCCGCCAGACAGACATACCACGCCAAGAACGCCCCGAGTAGGGCAAATAATCCCCCCGCCTTGAGCAGAGGCGTGTAGGGTGCGCCGTTGGGGCGATGAAGGTAGCCGACTGCCAGGAGGAGCACGGCAAGGTCGACGGAGGCAAACAGGGAGAAAAATATGACCGTTGACTTGACCGTGCAGGTCACGAGTAGGAAGGTGAAAATAAACCAGCCCTAGTGTCAGTCAAGTCAGCAAGCCAGACGCTCAAAGAGAACGGAGACACAAACCATTAGATACAGCCCGAACGAGTCATAGAACATGCCCACAGACCCATTGTCCGCGGCCTTGAGCTGGCCTTCGATGTCGAATCCCCCCGGGGTGAAGATCATGGCCAAAGAAATCCAAAACCCTCCGTATGAGGAGAGGGCTGTAGCGCCAAAGGTATTGCCGGCGGCCATCTCCCTGGTACCTGATAGTTAGCTTGGAGTTCAGCACGCAGAGCAGATGAATGGACGTCGACCTACCACATTCCCGCGAGAAGTTGCACCAGGCCGCCGTAAGCAAAAGCCAGCGGGACTACCATGTTGGGTTGAGTGATTCCCCGTGTCTGCATGTTGATACATCCCAGGACGAAGGTGGTCAGGGCAAAGCCAGCCAGTCCTAGCGGGGCGGGATTCGCGATCTTGCGCGCTTTGACTGGCTTGTACAGCCCAGGCTGTAGCTCGCCTGCGAATGCAGGGAGGTATGTGCCCGTGGTGGGCACATGAGCTAACGGTCCGTACTCAGCCAATTGCTTGTCGAATTCGTGGGAGGCAGTGGTGTGAGTATCGACTCTTCGGGGCGCCTCGATGTCGCTAGTTGGAGTATCAGGCATGATGTTCGACTTATGCGATGAAAGGCTTTGGAGATCGCAAGAAATGCCCCCAAGGTAAGGACTTGCTACTCTTATACTTGGAAGCGAACACCGAGGTTTGAGTTCGTTTCATTCTCGCTAAGGGATCCAGATCTCTCAGATTGGGAACCTCCTTTCACCTCGTAGTCGTCATGCGGGGAAACGCTAGCTTGCACCGTGTTCTCAATTATGAGCACTCATCCATCCAGATGCTTCGGGCGGACGGAGCCTCAATTGGACCCGTCCATCAGTTGTGGGCCCTGATCAACAACTTAACTTGTCGTTCGAGCGGTACCTATCTGGGGAAAAGGGACTATCTCCCCGCGCGAGGGGTTTGTAGGGTGGATCGACATCTCCTTTCGCCTAGACAAGTTGGTCGAATGGGAATGATATACGTGCAGAAAGGCAGATCCGGAAGTCTAATTGGGATTGCAGCGAATCCCATTTGTACTAAGGTTGGAGCATACATCGAACAGAGTCTCTCGAGTTTGCCCCTGACTCCCTGACTCCGACTTGGAGCGAACGGCTGCCTTCTCCAAGACTGTCATTTACATAGCAAATAGGGGGAGCAGGTGAGTGTACGGGACTCAACAGCCCAGTAGAATGTCCTAACAGTGGTGGTCTTTCTCTTACATTGAAGTGTGACAGCTGGTGAGTGGCAAGCACTGTCGAACTCTTGGGTCGCATTGCCCAGCGGCGTCTCGGCATTCCCCCAGCCGCCCAGTACCGACGCACGTGACTGACTGGCTTTCTTTAATCCGGGCCAGGGCTTAGGGCTCAGGGCAAGGGCTCGTCATCACGTGCCAGTCCACGGCTTGATCGGCGGTGCAGCGCCTTTTATTCATAGCATCTAGTTAACTACTCCCAGCTTCATATTTTTTATGGTGACGATTATCGGATAATCATGTACTTTAAGGCTCCAGAAGCATAGATAGCACGACATATAAGATCCTATCCATCAAGCCCCGCGGTAGAAAACAATTGTTCCCTGTCTATTTCGCAGACGGTCGCTTTGCAGAACAACCGGTCAAGACAAGCAGAATCCTTGTAGATTATGAGCTCGCCGACGCACGGAGTCCCTATGCTCTCACTTGTAGCTAGTCAGATCCAAACCCTGCATTTCCGAGCTGAGAGTCTCCACCTCCTGGACAATCTTCGGGATCGCATCGCATTTGTCATGGTCGAGATAGCTCAGGAGATTGCAGCGCGATGACGGCGTGAGAAAGGCCCTGACGTGAGTGATGAGGGACTCGAAGCTCCAACCGGCGAACGGAGTGGTGGGAGGATCATGCAGGTTGGCCGCGAAGAGACTTTGTTCGAGGGCCCCCAAATCGACGCAGCGACATTCGAAAGTGCAGCCGAACAAGCCTTGACGCAGCCCGTCTCTCCATCGGGCAATGAGGTTGAGCACGCCGTCAATGGACTTCTCCCGGTGGGCGTTGATTGCGTCTGTTGTGGTGAACGTCGCATGTCAGTATTGGTGTCATTGCTTCAAGCCGGCATGTGATAAATAGCCCACTTACCCACGATACTCGCTTTCACCGGGAATTCACTCGACTCCATATATTGATCTCCATGTCGGATTGCCAAGAGGGTGACCTGGTCAAACACCCGGGTCATTTCAAAGAAGTACGACACCCAGATCCATTCGAGGGTCTCGGTCGCATTGTAGCCGGCAGGAATTTGGGTCTCGAGATGCGACTTCCAAAGGCGTAGGTGCACCTGGACAGCCTCCTGGCAGGCATAGTAGTCGACTAGCACGGCGATGCGAGCACACAGCGGTAGGGAAACGAGGTGGGGCACTCGGTTGTTGCGTCCGTGGATGATGCGCAACAGGATCAGCAACGCCTCCAAATCCCAGCCTTCCACCGTAATGTCCACCTTGCCAGTGCGCTGTAGATCATGGGCCTCAGTGAAGCTGCCGGTCAGCTGACGGTCGAACACTGGCGAGGCGAGCTGGAGGTGCTTGGCAGAGACTTGGATACGCGCTTCGATGTCCTTGAGGGACTGGTCGGGATTCGCGGTCGATGAAGGCAGGTCGGGAGAGGCATTGTCGGGAGCAGGAAAAGAAGTCAGCTTAGCGTGGAGGACGAGCGTGACTTCGCCGGTCGCATCGATGATGTAGTTGGCGATGATTGCCATGGCTGGAGGTCTTGAGATGACAATCAGAAGGGTGAGTGGTGGATCAGTAGTGGCGTGGAGGAAAGAGGAGAAGGGAGAAAGGATGGAGAAGAAGACGAAGAGAAGGAGAAGGAGAGGAGAAGAAAGGAAGAAAAAGATGCAGAAGAAGACAACTCGTGTTACTACCTGGGCACTGCTCTGTGCAGGAGAAGAGTGAGGTATTCACCCACCAGGCTCCGCTATAGTCATCTGGTGAATGAGTACTAGGCTACCAGTGCTTACCATGTTGCTTATCCTGGTCATATACTTTTATGCCTTTGATTCATGTCTTGGGTGCCTGATGACAACAATATGATTTGCCAAGAATACTTCTTGACGAACTGATGTAAATAGACCGACTGGAGTTGTGAGTCCAGATGTTGATGCGTGCACGTGATCTCTGGATCCCTTACTTTTTTTCTTATCTTATCCTCAGCTGGCCTGCTCATCGTGAAAATCACCCCCGGATGTCGCCATTCGCACCAACTAAGACAATCGGGCCGGAGGTCCAATCATAGGCCTTGGATTAATTAATTCCGGCCACATCCCAGAGATATTCAGTCGGCCCTGGCTCGCCTGGCCGCGCAATGTCCCCCCTCCTTCAGCTGCAGCTCCATTGCACTCCTTCTTTTCACTTCCCTTCTTGCCCTCACCCCATAAGCGCAAAATGCGTGCGACTGAGATCTACCCGGCGAAAGGCCCAGACATCTCCTTTCAACCACCAACGGAGGAAACGAGCAAGGTGGGCGACGGAGAGCGCATCGTACAGGATGAAGAGGCGCAAAATCTCCGCCGTGGGTTGGAACAACGGCATACGCAGATGATTGCCATTGCGGGTGCCATTGTAAGTGCTACGCTATCTTCCTCGCAGAGCTCCTGCGGGCGAAAAAGAGAAATAGCCCTTCTAACTTCGAATCGATAGGGAACTGGGCTCTTTCTTGGACTGGGCAGCTCAATTGCCTCTGGAGGACCACTGGGTGCGCTGCTCGGGTACATGCTGGTTGGTGTAATTGTCTGTGCGATCCAGATCGCACTCGGGGAGGTTTCGGCCTTGATGCCTGTGACCGGATCATTTGTGCGACATGTTGAACTCTTGGTGGACCCCGGTCTGGGGTTTGCGATCGGGTGGAATGTGGTCTATGGCTGCTTCATGTCGGTGCCCAGCGAGATCTCGGCCGCCGTCGTGCTGATCCAGTACTGGACGGAGCTGAACACGGCCATTTGGGTGACCATCCTGATCATTTTATCTGCCGTGGTAGCCCTGCTCTTCATCCGGGTCTACGGTGAGCTCGAGTTCTGCTTCGCCATTCTGAAAATTCTCCTCATCATCGGCATTGTCATCATGGGGCTAGTCATCGACCTCGGTGGCGTGGCTGGCACCCCTCGTTTGGGGTTTCATTACTGGAAGGATCCCGGTCCCTTCTCCGAATACCTTGCCTCTGGGGCATGGGGCCGCTTTCTGGGCTTCTGGGCGGTTCTGACGACAGCCGTGTACAGCTTTTCCGGCGTGGAAAGTCTGACCATGGCAGCGGCCGAGATGCAAAATCCGCGGCGCAACATCCCACGGGCCTGCAAGCGCGTCTTTGCCCGCGTTACCATCTTCTATATCATTGCCGTCCTGATCGTGGGCATGCTGGTTCCCAGCACCGACCCACGCTTGAACGATTACTCCGGTACGGCAGCCACCAGCCCCTTTGTGATTGCTGCAGCCGATGCTGGCATCAAAGTTGTACCATCGATCATCAACGCGATCGTCCTCACCTCTGCCTGGTCCTCGTCAAACCAGAGCATTCTGTCGGGCACGCGCACACTATATGGCCTCGCGTTGAAGGGCCACGCGCCCAAGGTCTTTCTCCGGACGACGCGTCACGGTGTACCATACATGTGCGCCGCGCTGCAGATCGCCGTATCGTGTCTGGCGTACTTGAGCTGCTCCAACAGCGCATATACGGTCTTCAACTGGTTGTTGGACCTCACGTCGGCGGGAGTATTGGTCTCGTGGATCACCATCGCGTTGAACCACATCCGTTTGATCCAGGGATGTCGAGCGCAGGGGATTGCGACCGAGGCGCTACCGTGGCATAACTGGTGGTCGTGTAAGTGACACCTTCAATGATGAGTATGGTTGTGGTTGTAGCTGACCTGCTCTTAATCATGACAGACTATAGCTCGTGGTTTGCCCTCGTGTCGTGCATCATCATTCTCTTCACCGGTGGCTTCACCGTGTTCACCAAGGGGAATTGGGATCCCGCATCGTTCGTGTCTTCTTATTTGTGAGTGTCTTGCTGGGGAGAGTATGCCTATCGGAGCTAACAGTAGCAGGGATATCCCCCTTGTGTTGGCATTCTACCTTGGATACAAGTTTTGGAAGAAGACGAGACTGATCCCCGTACAAGAGATCCCCCTTCAACAAGCGCTCCAGGAAGTGCGAGATGATGTAGAGGATGAGCCTGTGCGGACCAGCAAATGGTCCAAGTTCAATATCCTCTGGGGATAGAGGAGGCATGATTGATTACCTCGAGCTGTCTAGTTCTTGCGTTGTATGTATGGTCTAAGTCGATACCGTGGATGAACAATGAGTTCGAAGCTGCCGCTGGAGCTGACGTCGGGAGTAACAATGGCATTGTCGTTTCTTTGTTTGTCGTGGTGTTGGATGGAGTGATGTTCCCACCATTCTTTGTACGCCTTAATCATGTGCCAATGCTCCGAGCCAAGGACCTTTACTCTGATCACATCTCAATGGATGGAGCACGGATAGACTTTACAAAGACGGAAGGGGAGATCTACAGCATCTGACTCCTCTCAATGCAAGGATAAAGCAACCCACGATCACAAGCTGCTGTCTGAGATAAGAAGAGGAACAAGGGGCCCATCAGCGTTGGTTTCCAGCAATCATCAAAAGTCTTCCCTAGCGAGGCACAAACAGACTATATAAAGTCCCCCTAAGCCCCAGCCAAGGTATGTCATCTCACTTTTGTTCCAGCATCATCGGCTTCGACCGACTCGATTCGTCCGGCTTTCTCGCGTTGACATGAATACGCTACCCCAAAAAACCGTTAATCACTTACATCACAATGGCGTCCAACGTCCTATCCATGCCTGATGAAATCCTAGCCTGGCACATGCGGCTGCTGCATTGGTTCCCGAGAGAAGAAGGGTACGAGGTCAGCGGCGTCTTGAGCAGCGACGGACTCGGCGTAGCCTTCCACTCGATCACGGTCCACCTGCAGATCCCCGAGAAGGACATCGACCACAAGTTCCTGGCCCTCGTGCTCGGCGAGTGTGGCTGGGACGCCGACCATATGGACCACGACAACACGGTGCTGGACGATCGGATAAATCACCACTCCGACCACATGCTCGCTTCACTTCCCTACGGCAGTCCCTTCGCCTGTGGGGTGATTTGGCATAACGCTATCACTCTTCTCCGGTATAAGCCGGAGAAGCACAAGTACGCTCGCTGCACGGCCCACGGCCAGAATATTCTGGATGTGAAGTACGAAGCCGCAACTATTGACAGTTGGTTCCACCGGCTGAAGAAGAAATGGAGGCCCGAAACCATCCCTAAAGGGAGAAGCGGATTCGACACCTCGCGACTTCGCGCGAAGTCGTATTCCCCAGATTACTATTAGATATGGGTATACCGAATGACACGAGAACGCGCAGGATAATTGCCGGCGCAGTGAGAATTAAAACCCCACCGGAGTTGATAATTGTGTCGCTCTACGTAGAAAGCAGTCAATGTTCTGTCATGAACAGCTGTCATCATAGCTAATAAAACTGACCATCGTAGGGTACTGCCTTGGTGTATGAGTGTGATTGTATTGGCTCACACACTGCGTAGGAGCCGAGGGTGGCTGCATCCTCGGATGGTTTTGTCGCATAAATTCATGGCCGATATTGTGTGACGACCTCGGAAGATGGCATAACAGAAAGTCACGCTAGTCCTGCCGTCAGATAAGCCCAACGTCCGGCAATAAACAGACTCATGAAGGGCCAAAGGCCATCACCAGCGATTAGAATTGACTCGACCCAAAACCAGTGTTCGGATCAGTCGGTATCTCCCCAAAAGATTGGTCATCACCTAGAAGCATCAAATTGTCCCAGTAGCGGTCGAAGAAATCCGCAGCGTCGGTAGGAGGATTGAATTGAGCATGTTGAACCCCGACATTCTGTCCCAAATAGAACGTGGCGTCCATCAGGTCGACATCGAATGGGGTACCCTGAGGACTCTGACTCTGGCTCGGTGGCGAAGAGAAGTGAGGAGGCATGAGGTCGAGTTCAGCAAAGGCGTTGGTCACTCCATAATCCACGGGGGCCAACGAAGGTGCATCCGTGCCAGGTGTTGCGCCGTGTTGTAGGTGGGTGTTGGCCACATTCAGCATGATCCGCAAGGCTTCTGCAGTTTTTAATGCCTCCTTGGATTGATGGCGAAGGCAGTTCCAAATGTTGTAGGATCGCTCGAGCTCATGGGAAAGTTCCTGTCGTTCTACCAATATGGCCTGCCTTGCATTGGGTGACAGGCTCTGCTGGAGGTCATGTCTCGATTGACAGGAGATCTCTAGTGAGACAATCATTGCCGCTGTGCGAAAATGCATAATCACACATGACGAGAAGAAGAAGGAGGCATAGTTTAATTGCCCACCCGGTGAACTCTCGTTGAAAATATCGGACTGATGTTGCAGGACCCTTCTGGCCGCATCCAAGCACTCCCGGCGCGAATATGCGTACTTAGGATTTAGACGATGCTGGGTAAGATATCGCCGATGAAGGTCTGAGCGAGCCTTCTGATACATGAGATCAATATTATATCGGTCCATAATCGTAGTGGGGGGGTCTGCGATAGACTCGCTCGGCGAGCGAAACCGCAGAGGTGGTGGGATGTTGGCGTGTAGGCCTCGCAGCTTTGCATCCAGCTCAAGCACCTCCTGGTAGGGAACTCCTTTGACCGAGCAAACTTTGCGGGCAATGTCGGCTCCCGCAAACATCACCCGATTGAGAGCGACCGGGAAAAGAATCAGAGTTTTCTCGGTCGAAGGCCTGGAAGCAGGTAAGGTAGTGGCCGCAGGGTCCAGATCGTCATCTGTTAGATTTCTCGGCTCCAGGGTATCGGATTGCGCCTGCGCGGTGGTGGGGGGAAGGCCAGCCTGACACGAGATGTAGTGGTCTAGGAGACAGAGATACATCCAAACCCGACGTCGCATTTCGCCGTCAAACACCGAGATCTCGCGATAATGTTTAGGATCGCGATGGTAGCCGCTATGAATAGCCAAGCGAGTGGCCACCCCCAGCAGGACAGATGGCCCGACGTGGGTGTCGGTGCTTCTGAGAATCTCACAACATATACTCAAGATGAGAGTCTCCAATTTGTATCGTCCCGGTCTCGTATACTCCGCCATGGTGAGACATTGCGACGCCAAGCGGAAATACTCATCGAATGCTTCTGCAAAATGACCCTCCGCCCTGCCAGCCGTGGTGAACAGATGCAGTCCAGCGGCCGCACTGAGGATGGTGTAGAGATAGGCTAGCCAACTAATGGATGCGCTCTGAGGGTTCTTCCAGAAAGCAGTATACTTTGCCGCGGATTAGGATGCATGAGTCGGAATGGGGGACAGTCTCCAGTGGCTTACCTCTCGGGTGAATGTTGGAGTATGTATAAGCACTTAGACGCGTTAGGATATATCCGACCTTACGTTTTGGAATGATACTCACCCAGAGGAGACTCCTTCGAATTCAAATAGGCCGATATCAACCTGTCTGCCATGGATCGAACAGGCAAAGCGGCGAGGAGCTCCGAGATAGTTGAGGAAATGGAGTTTCCGAATAGCAGTACAGGGCCCGAAACAGCCGGGACTACATCCTCCTCTTCCACCTCCTCGAGAGAAGTATTCTCGTGCATCTGAAGGAACTCCTTGACCTCGGCAATCTGACCAGGGGATCAGTCAATATGAGGAGATTCGTACAATGGTCGGTGAGCCCCTGCTTACCTCGTCCAGCACAGCTTGCCAATGCGTTGGATTATGGTAGTTTGTACCATCTTTTTCAATTAAGATAGTGCCTGGGAACTCTGCCTGTGGTTCGCAAATAGGTTCCGCTGTATGAGTCAGGGACTGGGGATCTGCTGGCAGCAGGCCTGAGGTCCAAGCAATGTCTGCAGGGAGCTGTTGTGGTGGTGGTTGTGGTGGTTGCTGTGCCTGAAGCAAGGGGTTCCCATTCGACAACTGCTGCACACGGGCCTCAAGTTTGTGAATATAGTACTGGATGTCATGAGAATCCCCGGGCGAGACCCCCCGAGGACCCACAAAGTGGCACATCTCAGCCCGGCGGTGTTTGATGCAGTTGTCACACGGGTGAATGCGATTACATTTCAACCTGGGATCGGGAGAGTCAGAGAGTCAAAGAGGGAAGGGTAGAGGGTCCAGTGGGGAAGCCGATGGGGCAGCAGGGGCTGGAGCTGGGACTAGCACACTTTTTCCGACGGCAAGGAACACAGGAGAGTTTGGGTCTCGGCTTTCTTTTTTTCACCGACGGGGGGTGGAGGGGAGGATTGTCTCCATTGCCAAGTATAGCGTCCATGGTGTATCTACAGTGTAGTGTAGTGTAGTGTACGTAGCCACCTTGAAGGCAATGAGGGGAATGAATGAATACCTCGAGGAATAAGTCCGTGTAAGACGCGCTAAGACGCGGGGATATTTTGGCGGACGGCGGCTGACTCAGCCATTCATCCACTGCCCCATCCGCGGAATCTAACCCCTTTCCGTCTAGCGCCGGACATTTTGGCGTCTAGTGCCGGATTTACCTCAGTTTGTCCCGTTTGTCCCGTTTCCAAGTCGTCCACTTTGTCCTCCACCTCCATCATCATCGTTATTCCATTGAATGCCCTCCAGACAGACAGTCCCTCCCTCCCTCTCATACCTTACTTATCCTTATATATAACTAGTTCATCCGGATCGTTGCTCATCATGACTCTCAAGAAACCCGAATCATCGAGTCTCTTCTACCTCGCACATCTTGCACATCTTGCACATCCTGCACCCATCGGTTGAGACATGACCCTGCTCGCATCCTCTATCTCTCGATCGCTCCCGTACAGCCTCATGACCTCATACTCGGAGTTTTTGTCGTGGGATCCAGAGATGGTCGATCTCTTGGACATTGATCCCAGGTTATTTCCACCCTCGTGTTATGCGGATCTCGACTCGATCCCTACTGTCTCCCTCATGCCACATCCCCCCTTTGAAGGACAAATCTCGAACACCAGAACGATCGACGCCACGCTAAGTCGGTCGGCCTCCCCGATGAGCAGCCATAATTCCTTCCTATCGCCTGAATCCTATCCCATCCACGACCTTGGCCATCGCTCGCCCCTGCCTCAGACCTCCGTTCCGGCAGCCACAGCCGGACCCTCCCAATCGACGACCACCACACCCCCTCGACGAGGGATCAAGCGAGCACGGTCGCATTCATTCACAGAAGAGTCCACGGGGAGCGACAATCTCTCGTCTCAAGACTCAGAGGAGGAGCGCATCCAGGAGAAACGGCGGCGCAACAAGATGGCTTCGCGGAGGTTACGCCAGCGACAAGTCGAGCATGTCACCGACCTGGAGTCTCGGCTGGGTCGAGTGACTCGCGAGCGTGACGATCTGCGATTACAGCTCGCCAAATGCCAAGCGGAAGTCACGGTGCTGAGGAAACTCGTCGGACAGAAGATGGACTGATGCTATTAGGGACGGGCTTGATGATTTTTGCGGCTTAGTGGAGCGTTCCCGCGAGCATTCTTTTCTAAATCTTTTATATACCCAGGATTATAGAGTCATCATATCCACTTTTTATTTGCCGTGTTTTCCGGCCCTTGGCTCGCAGCAAGTAACTGTGCGCCTTGATCACGTTCGATCACGTGTCATACTATTCGCGTCGTGGTCTCGATGACCTCACCGGAGTAGGAGATAACCTAGCCTCATCTCTTGAATTCCTCGTACCGTGTCTGCAGACCTATGACGTTCATGATGATCACTCATCTACATCGCAGGAGGGTCTGTACTATGTACTTGCACTCTTCGTGTTTCTGTTCTCAGTGTCTTTCTCCTTCGGACATCCATGCTCTGCTAGCTTATCGATCGGCCAGCAACTATTTATCTTCACCCATCCGGGCCACATTCCCCGTGTGCCGCAAGACTCACCAACAATGATCGTCCATCGTTACTCCCGAGACAGGTTCACGAACTTCGTGCTAGAGTGAACCAAGAAGGTGATTTCATGAAGCTACATTAGCTACTCTGTAGCAAGCCATTACAAACAAAACGCCAACATGCCAAGACGCCACCGCAATCCATTTCAACCCCTTTTCGCATGATGTTATTGACCGAGATTCAATCCCAGATCCAGCCCCAGGTCCATGCCGAGGTTCAGTTGTAATTCTGCCTCCGCCGCATCGTTGGCCTGCTTAAGGGCAATCTGGCGTTCCTGCTCATCGGGCGGAAGTGCGGCAAAGGCGGCGGTGTTCTCGTCCCACGCGCGCACACACTCCTTGTTCCAATTGCACTTCTCCACCTCCCCGTACACTGGATGGCTGAAGCGAGGGTGGTTCGAGGGCCAGTTGGAGGCATGATAATGATGTTTGACGAGGGCCGTTCGGGCGTTGTGGTTGCCCGAGTCGGAATGGCCCTGGCCGGCGGCGAAGGCCTCGACGGTCAGGACCAGGATCCCCCCCACGAGCTTGGATTCGGGGATATTGTGGAAAGTCTTCCAGCTCACTTCGTGGCCTAGTCGGATGCTCATCTCTGCCAGCACGGCCGAGGTGAATGCGGAGGGTCCCGTGCCGCTGATCACGTCGTCAAAGTCCAGCTCCAGCTCGCCGATGGGTTTGCCTTGCTGGGCCGACAGCTCATGTAACCAAGCCAGAATGTTGTCCACCAGCCGCATCATCACCGGGTGGCGGGGCTTGCTCATGAAAGTCCATTGGCAGAAGGACTGCGATTTCTGGCCCAAGATTGCATGGTCGTTGAACTCGGGCTCGTCAATCTCCACCCCGATGACCAGATCCATCTCGTCCTCAGTAAATCGCTCGGGGATAAATCGGTCCAGCGGGCGGAGGGCTTCCACGTCAATGTCCGCCCAGATTCCCCCATCAACATACATAATCAAGTATCGCAGAAGATCGGCCTTGATGATGCGCGCGTTCAGCGACCGGTAGACTTCGACAATGTCCGGTCGGTTCAACCCTTCCGGCCCATAATGGGTCTCGACATAGTAGAGGTCATTCTCGTCGGTCAGCACCTCGTACCGATGGCGGGGATTCTTCTCCGGCCAGCTTCGAGCAACCAGGAGATCTCGTGGCTCGAAAGCCAGAGGGTTGACTTTCCACGATTGCCAGATCTTCCGGGGAAACTGCTTATAGCGCGCGGTGGGCCCGGAGAGGCTGTCATTGACCTCGCCAAAGGTCCCGGTGAGGGAGAGGTAGAAGACCAGCACGAAGGCAGAGAAGAAAACAGGGGCTACTCGACGGAGGTGGCGTGGCAGGAAGACGCCAGACAGAGGGGTGTTTGCCTGCATTCTGTCGAGCGAGACGAGCAGAGACACAGGCAACGAGGAGAAGTGAGTGAAAAGTGGTGGTGCTCAGGGGGCAGAAAGGGCGTGGGCTGATGGTCTGGACGTTTATGAGGGGAAACCGCACGGTGACGAGAATGCTTCATATGCGTCAATTGCAGTCGCTAAGCTCTCTTAGCTGCGCTAGGGTCCTCAATGGGACCCAACTGAGCCAGCCATGGAGCTAATCGATTGGCGAAGCACTGATGGACCCAGGATGATCGTATTCAAACCATTCGGAGATTCCTGGGGGTAAAAGCCTCGGGTGGCGCACTGACGGCGGCCTGGAAGGGGAAATGGCTCCGAGACATGTGGTTTTCACACGACCAGGGCAGATTGTCAGCGAGGAGACTAATCTTGGAAGACCCTCAACCTGTTCACCCCCCCCCCCCGGTCGATCGCTCCGCTTAGTCGGAGTTCGGTTGTTTTTGCGGCGGGGGTGACGGGAAGCCCTCATATATCGCACCGCACCACCAGACCACTGCATCGCAGCCAGCTCGACGACCTCAGAAGCTATTCTGGCCATCATGCCAGCGCTCTTACTTTCTCCAATGCACGAAAAGTCCTTGGAAGACGGCGAGTGGAAGTCTTCCCTACTGGAACCGCCGCCCATCCCTAAGTCTCGCTGGATGGAGAGGCTGTGTCCGGAATTTCTATCCCGATCAGACCATGGCCCGGATCATGAAAAATTGCCGACCTCTGCTCCTCGACCTCGACGAACAGCCTATCTAGACGGTCTGCGCGGATTTGCCGCTCTACTGGTGTACTGGGGCCATCATGAACTTTGGGCCCACGACGGGATTGGAGCGGAGCGCATCTTCGAGAACGCGTACGGATATGAGAACCAGCGCTACCTGGTCGCCTTCCCGGGGATTCGCAACTTTTTCTCGGGCGGACATTTCGCAGTCAGCGTCTTCTTCGTGCTCTCTGGCTATGTTCTGTCGGCGAAACCGCTGGCGTTGATCAACGCAGGGGAGCGTGTCGCGCTGAGCGACAATCTCGCGTCAGCTTTGTTCCGTCGCTGGTTGCGCCTCTTCCTGCCCGTTATTGCCACGACCTTCATTTACATGACTTTCCTGCACGTCTTCCGCGTGAAGACGGTGCCCGAACTGCAAGGCAGCTATGGCGCCGAGCTCTGGAACTGGTACGCCGAGTTCAAGAACTTCAGCTTCATCTTCCGGGGCGGAGGTGAGCCGTGGTTCACCTACAATTTCCACTCGTGGTCCATCCCGGTGGAATTCCGCGGATCGATCATCGTCTACACGGCGCTGTTGGCCTTCTCCCGCTGTCGCCGATCCATGCGGTTAGCCTGCGAGGCCGGCCTGGTCTTCTATTTTCTTTACATTGCAGATGGCTGGTTCGGAGCATTGTTCATGTCGGGCATGCTCCTGTGCGATCTGGATCAGCTCGCGGCGCGGGACCAGCTGCCCGACTGCTTCGTCATGCTGGAGCCGTACCGCGAGGGGATCTTTCCTGTTCTGCTCGCGATCAGCATGTATCTTGGGGGAGTCCCCTCGCGGAGCTTCGAGGTGCAGATCCTCCGCGAGTCCCCCGGGTGGTACTACCTGTCTCTGTTGAAGCCTCAGGCGGTCTTCGACTACAAGTGGTTCTACCTCTTCTGGGCAGCGACCTTTCTGGTTGCCTCGCTGCCACGCATGCCGTGGTTGAAGCGATTCTTCGAGACCCCCTTCAATCAGTACCTCGGACGGGTGTCGTTTGCCTTCTACCTCGTCCATGGCCCCGTGCTGTGGGTGCTGGGGGATCGGCTGTACGCCGCGGTCGGATGGGCGCGCGATTCACATGCATCGAACTGCCCTGGCTGGATTAACCGACTGCCGTTGCCGCGCGTCGGGCCCCTGGGGTTGGAGGTGAGCTTCCTTGCACCGCAGCTGATCCTGCTGCCGGTGACACTGTGGTTGGCAGAGATAGTCACCCGCTGGATTGACGAGCCGAGCGTGCGAGTAGCGCAGTGGCTGTACCGACGAACGCTGGGAAATGACGCCTAGTCTTAGTCTTAGTCTAAGTGTTAGTCTAGAGTAGCAAGCAGCGATCGATAGCCAGACAGGAATCTTAGTGCGTGGTTTTGCTTCTTGGGTTGCGTGCTAGTTTGTAGGCTCATTTCCGGAATCGGAGACCAACCGCGGGCCAGGAATGGCGCTATCACCGATAGTCCAGCAAGCAACCGGAGAGGGGAAGAAAATGACAGGAGGAGAGAAGACTGATGCGTAGTGAGGAGTGGGGGGAATCCTCTCGGTCTTACTTCTTCTTTCCCCGGACCCTGGCAATCACCTACGGAGTAGGTAATTTCACATGCTCGACTATCGACGGCGTAGACGGCGTAGACGGCGTGCTGATCACTTCGCATGAAGCCCGAGTTGAAAAGCGGGGAAGAGCTCCGCCGTCAGATTAATTCATGCAATGATTTGTTGAATTGAGTGAGTGAGTGATTGAATCCCATTCAGGGCCGGGCCGCCCAAGCCTAAAGGGGGAAAAGTTGCAGCTCAGGCCTCCCACTACTTGTTGAATGCCCCTCTGCCTTCATTCCTTCTGGCTGCAACCCTAATTTATCTCACTCCCACACGAGCCAGACCACTCCTCCCCTCCCCCTCCCCCCCTCCCTTGCTCAAGCTGGGCTGTCTGGTTTTCCCTCCTATTCTTCCCATTCTTCTTTGCTCAGGTCGGACAAGTCCAGCCCAAGTTCAGCAAGCAATGTCTGCCCGGCTAATGCGCCTGGTGCCCCTTGCCGGGCTCCTCATGGGACTGCTCCTCACCTTCTACTACCTGTACAGGGGGGTCGCAGCCCCATCAGCCACTGGCCTGGAGGAAACCACTCAGCACAATAATATCGACCTTTCGCATCTTTCAGACACTCATCACCAAGTCTTTTCCGCATCGACCCCCAACCAGAAATATTTCCACGTTGACTTTGGTGAACGAGATGGCTTCAACCCCAGCATCATCCCCCATCCCGTACTGCAAGACAAATGGATCATCACCGCGCAACTCGCGCGCAATCGCTCGCAGACCGAGCCCCTCTCCGTCTGGAGTGCCGAGCTGGTCTGTACCGCAGCCTTCCAGGACCAAGGTCGCACGCTACGCTGCGTTGACCAGCCTCTCATCCTTCCCATCGCTGCGACCGCCACTGACGAGACGCGCTGCAATGGCGAGCTGGAATTTCTCTCGGTGAGCCTGGGGCCGCACGATGCGCGGATCTTCTACGGGCCCGACCGACCGTATGCGGTGTATGGGTCGAACTCGCAGCATACGTGTTTTGGACAGTGGGCGTTGGACTTCCGCGTGCTGGTTGACTGGCCGGGCGAGGAGCTGATTCAGACCCCAACGTATCGACACCCGGTCGAGCTCCAGCGACCCCTCCTTCCGGGGTACTCTGCGATCGAGAAGAACTGGTTCCTGTTCTGGGACATGCACGGGACGGCATACGTGCATTACGATGTGGCGCCCACGCGGGCCTTCTCGCAGCTGCTGAGTATCGCCGATGGCTCCGTCGGTTCCGATCTGGCAGCCAATGCCGCCCCCATCGATGAGCCCTGCCTGCAGAGGCACTTGCCCCTCCTCACAGACCCGGACCACGAGTCCATCCACCAGGCGACGAACTCCCTGGCGATCACGCTGTGCGAACGCGCAGATCCCAGCTGCCAGCCTAGCGAGGATAACACGTTTGTTTTCATGATCTTCCAGCACAAGAAGTACGTGGCCTTCCACAGTGTGTATGAGCCCTACGTCATGTTGTTCCGCCAGCGTGCGCCGTTCGAGATGTTTGGGGTTTCCACCAAGCCACTCTGGATCCACGGGAGGTTGTCCGCGAGTGTGGGGGTCGAGGAGGACCAACAGCAGTCGGAGATGTTGTATGTGACCTCCATCAGCTGGAAACAGGCGGGCCAGCGCTACCATGGATACATCGACGATGCGGTGTTCTTGGGCTTTGGGCGGGAGGATTCCCATTCGGGAGGCATAGATGTGGTTGCGAGGGATCTGCTCGATGGACTGGGGTATTGCTTCGGTTGAGGTGCTGTGCTGTGCTGTGCTGTTCTGTTCTGTATGATATGAGACAACGATATGCTCTCCAGGGGCGAATAGATTAATTACTGGACCACTGCATCAGTCCTGACTCATCCTCGCACCGCCAACTAAGCCTTTCGAAGCCTGTGAGTCGTGGCTGGCCTTCAGCCCTACGTCCTGGTTGATGGGGCTGTCATATCCCTGAAACAAGCCTGGTGGTGACCCACTCGTTGCTGGGCGGTTAACGCCCAATGGAACGGAGGCATTTGCAGCCATTGCTGGAGATAGGGCGGTTTCCAAAAGATGACAGCTCCACTGTGAACTCGAGAAGAGTGTGATGAACTTCCCAGTGGGCGCTTGCGACAGGCAGCATGATTCAGAGGGAATGTACGGTGAAAAGGCCATACATTAGCGACCCCGACCGCACCTTTATCTCTGCCCTGAGCTCCGATCTCCTGTCTCTGCGGCAAGCATCTTTCGTTCTCATTCACTCCTTTGACCGCTTCTCCATCCTTTTGATCCTCTTCTCGGGGCCATTCTTGTTTTTCAAGGGCTGTGGCTGGACCGCAACCCTGATCTCGTTCTTCTCAGCCAGCCCCAAGCAGGCTCTTGTCTTTCTTTTGTACGTTCGGCCGTCATGGCGGACAGCATGTGGTACGCGTTCCTCAACGACGAGCTCTGCTACGTCTCCCTGTGGACATTTGCATCCTTGATTGCAATCATCTTCATCTGGCAGACCACGCAGCAGCTCACTGCCCATCTCCGGCGACTGGCGACTTTCACCGACCCATCCCAGAAGTTCCATCGGGTCGCTGACCCGCGACTCTCATGGCTCAAGCGGCATGTCCTCTACGCCCCCCTCTGGCGCAATCGGCACAACCGAGAAATGCAGCTTTCTCGTGCGGTCAATATGGGCACACTGCCCAGTCGGTTCCACGCCCTGCTGCTTACCTTCGTTGTCGCCCTGAACGTGATTCTTTGCACCATTACCATCCCCTTTGGCTTGAAGGAGACCACCGTTGCAATGCAGATCCGCAATCGGACCGGATATATGGCGACGGCAAATTTGTTTCCGTTGTTCATCATGGCAGGGCGCAACAACCCGCTGGTCGCGCTGCTGCGGGTCTCGTTCGACACCTGGAACCTCCTGCATCGGTGGCTGGGGCGAATTGTCGTGCTAGAGGCGTTGGCGCATGTGGTGGCGTGGGGGGTGCCCAAGGTGCAGGATTGTATGGCTCCTTCTTCGGTGTGGTGGATTGATGTCTGATATACAGCAGATGGATGGAAGGGGATGCTCGCAACGCTTAGCAAGCCCTTCATGTTCAATGGGCTGATGGTGAGTGCAACGGATGCCAATCATCTCGCTTTGATACGATGGTGATTGACCTCCACCTCCAGTGCATGGTGGCCCTCCTCATCATCCTCGTCCAGTCGCCCTCGCCGATCCGGCACGCCTTCTACGAGACCTTCCTGCACCTCCACATTGCACTGGCCTGCATTGCGCTGGGATTTGTGTGGCATCACGTCTACCGCTACTCGTGCAAGTTCTACCTCTACGCAGCGATCGCCTTCTGGGCATGCGAGGTCGGGATCCCACAGCCAGATCTATGTCCCCAGGCTAACCCCGTGACCCTGTAATGCAGCGTCTAGCCCGCTTCCTGATCCTTTTGCACCGGAACTTCCGAAGTGGGACTCGCACCACGGCCTACGTCGAGGTTCTCCCCGGCGACACAATGCGGATCACCCTACACGTGGCGCGACCGTGGCGTTTCTCGCCAGGCCAGTATCTCTTCCTTTGTGTCCCTTCTGTCGGAGGCTGGACCTCGCACCCTTTCTCCGTAGCCTGGGCAGGAGACACAAGCGCAGCAGCAAGATCACTCACCGAGAAGGCCTCGAGCGATCACCTCTCCCAAGATACAACATCGCAAAGCATCTCCCTGCTGATCCGACGCCGCACGGGCTTCACCGACACATTATTCAAGACAGCCCTCACCCACCAACACTCCCACCGCAACACCTTGTCCTACAGCGACGACCCCATGGCAACAAGCCCCTCCTTCCTCGAGCCGCAGACCACCCCTCCCCTCCGACTATCCGCCCTGGTAGAAGGTCCATACGGCAACCTGCACACGCTCGACTCCTACGGCACCGTCCTGCTGATCGCCGGCGGAGTAGGCATCACCCACTGTCTCCCCTTCATCCCGCACCTTCTGAAAGGCTACACATCCGGCACTGTCTCCGCCCGACGGATCACGCTTGTGTGGGTGGTGCAGTCCCCCGAGCATCTGGAGTGGATCCGACCGTGGATGACGGAGGTGCTGGCGATGGAGGACCGGAGGGCGGTGCTGCGGGTGAAGGTGTTCGTGACACGGCCGCGGAGCCCCAGGGAGATCAAGAGCCCCAGCGCGACAGTGGAGATGTTCGCTGGGCGGCCGGACATGCAGACGGTGGTGGGGATGGAGGCGGCGGGCCAGGTCGGGGCGATGGGGGTGATGTGTTGTGGGAATGGGGGGTTGAGCGATGAGGTGCGGAGGGCGTGTCGGGCGGTGCTGGAGAGAGGGACGGTGGTGGATTATATCGAGGAGAGCTTTACTTGGTAAGTGGTGGTGGTGGTGGTTGAGATGATGAGGTTGTTGTTGTTGTTGTTGTTGTTGTGGTGGTGGTGGTGGTGGTGGTGTTGTTCCCGACCGGGGGAGCTATTGTGGCCTTAGCAAAGTGGTGTCAGTCAGGCAGCGAGACTAGTCCGCATTCGCTAGCATAATCAATTGCCTCATGTTGGCCATCATTCTCGTGCATATCATACATCTACAGTAGTACAGCGACAGCAACCATTTAACCTCCTGTACAACATGCACACGACCATGATTACACTCCGCTATGTCTCGTGGTCGTCAACGGAATCTCATCCGCAACCACGACCACCTCAACCTTCCTCACAATCCCCCCCACATGCCGATCCAGAAACTCGCGATCCCCCGCGAAGATCTGCGTCGTGATGTTCGCCAGAATTTGCCGCTCGTGCTCCTCCGACGAGCACGACGCCTGCCCGTGCCCCTGCTGCCGCACGTACGGCATGATCCACCGGGCCTTCCAGTCCGCCGCAAAGTTCTCAGTGGATTGATTGGGAGTGGGTCCCCCATCCATCTGGTGATGTTGCGCCTGTTTCTTCCGGATGTACTTCCGTATCCAGTGGAGGACGAGGGGCCGGATGCACGGAACGGAGGCGGTGATGAGGACGATGCCGGCCTCGATGAACATCCAGCGGAGGAGGGGGACGCGGTTGATGCGCGGGTTGGTCGATTTGAGAATCGTGGGATATTCCAGGGTCTTGATGAGGGAGGCAGCCATTGCTCTTGAGACTTGGGTTAGTCTCTGAGATAAAGGGCTTGGAGGCAGAGGTAGGAGGTGAGGTAGGGCTTACACGACCCCCAGGCTAAGCAGGGAGATGAGCACCAGTTTGACCCGCAGCGTCCAGTTGAACCGCCAGAAAATGTAGATGGGGAAGAGGGCGAGAAAGAGGTCGCTAGCAGAGTTGAATGCTACCCTCCCATGGGGGTTAGTCGCGGGTTCCTTTGTTGGTGAAGTGCTGGATGGAAGGGGACGAACTCACCACCCTGAAAATATCCATAATCGATCTGAACATCCAGCGACATGCAATGTTTCTGAGCGCCAGGCTGAAACACCTCCACGACACGCGAGCATTGTGCGAATAACAAAACCACACTGACCACATTGACAACCACCTGCAGGGGCACGAGAGTCCACAGGACCATGCGGTCCCACGTCCGTGCCGCCAGCAACGCCATCATGTACATGATCATGGCGAGACGACCGGCGGTCGCGGCGAGAATGACAATCGCGTAGCCGATGGTCGAGTACCGGAAGCCTGCGACCACACTGTGGTGACCGGGGGAGCTGGTGGTGTTGCCGTACCCGTGGTTGACCGCGAGGTTGAACAGCACTGCTGCAACCAAGAGTAAAGCCTGGCTTCATTAGTGACAAACTGAGAAGGTGGCGGACAATAGCGTACCAGAGCCAGCAGTATAATCGCATCACTGAGTTGCAGGTTCCCGAACTTGTAGTTACTTGCCGTACGGGAGGCGACAACGAGGATCGAAAAGGCCATCATCGTCCACACACTGATCAGCAGCTCCGGCCCGTAATCCGTCCCGGAGGGCATCTTCTTTGCCCCAGCACCGAGGGTATGGTTGTGGCCCGCATGGCTATCCTGGTCGTGGCCGTACAGCATAATTACAAACTGTGTCGGTGCTCATCTTATCTCTCCGCACGATCAGCTCGCGAGAGAATAGACCCAGTAGGAGGGCCAGCAATCTGGCCATGGCTTGAGTTAAATCAACTGATCATGGGGTCCGACTCCCTTCACGGGTCGGACATTAGACTTAATTTAGGGCAGGGCGGGACAAACTCCAGATATAGGGACAGACAGTCAAGGTTGACAGCCCCCCTGGAGCCACACATAGACAACGAAAGTCACTCAAGCTACCTGCTCGCTCCTAAGCCGCAGATCCTTGACCGCAAGAAGACTAAGGACCACCTGCCAAGCCTGATGAGTGAGTGAAGTTCGGGCATCGGCCGAGACAATCCTTATCTGAAACACCGCCGCTGTTCGAACCCACCCGCTGGTCCAATCACTCGATTGAAGTGTGCTAAGCATTCTGATTGACTCCAGTGTCAGGCTGACGAATGTGTCTCAGAGTTGACGACGGGCCGATGAGCTCGAGTCAGTCAACCAAGCTCTAGGATGTGCCTCTGTGCCCCTATTTTTATTTCCATCGCGGGACAGTGCCAGGACCGGTGAAGACAAGCGCAAAAGCAGCTCTGGTCCGTGCCAGCCTTGTCCCGCGGCTTTAGGGGCGTGGTCGTGGTGCTTGAGAACTGTTTCATAGCTAGCCTGGAATGCCGTCTGTGACTTGATCTTATAACGGCTGACTATTACTTCCGCGTGGTTACTCATGAATCTAAGGGACGGGTCGCTAGAATAAGCTACGGGGTATGGTCCGTGAAACCCATGTTTGGGGCGAAAGAATATTGACTATATTTGAGGTACATA